TGTCGTAGAGGTTCATATAGTATTGTAGTACAGTGTCGTAGAGTGTTGTACAACAGAGTAGAGTCGAGTGTCGTAGAGCAGAGCAGAGTAGAGTAGAGTAGAGTAGAGTAGAGTAGAGTAGAGTAGAGTAGAGAAGAGTAGAGTAGAGTAGAGGAGAGCAGAGCAGAGCAGAGCAGAGCAGAGTAGAGTAGAGTATTGTTGTCGAGCGGAGTAGAGTGTCATAAAGTGTCGTAAAGTATAGGAGAGTCGATTGTTGTAGAGTGGAGTACAATGTCGTAGAGCACAGTGTCGTCGAGTAGAGTAGCGTACAGTAGAGTAGAGTAGAGTAGAGTGGAGTACAGTGTCGTAGAGTAGAGTACAGTGTCGCAAAGTAGAGTAGACTAGAGTAGACTGTCCCACAGTAGAGTTTTGTAGAGTGTCTTAGAATGGACTAATGTCGCAGAGTAGAATAGACTAGAGTAGACTGTCCTAGAGTAGAGTGTTGTAAAGTAGAGTGTCGTAGAGTAGAGTAGAGTGAAGTAAAGTACAATACAATAGAGTAGAGTAGAGTTTTGTAAAGTGTCGTAGAGTGGCGCAGAGTGTCGTAGAGTGTCATAAAGTGTCCTAAAGCGTCATAAAGTAGAGTAGAGCGTCGTTGAGTGTCGCCGAGTAGATAACAATAGAGTGTCGTCGTAAAGAAGAGTAGGGTAAAGCAGGGTAAGAAAAGAGTAGGGTAGAGTAGAGTAGGGTTTTGTAGAGTGTCGTACAATTTCCTAAAGTACGATAGAGTGTCCTAAAGTGTCATAGAGTAGAGTAGAGATTTAAAGAGTATCGTAAAGTGTCATAAAGTGATATGGAGTACAGTAGAGTCTTGTAGAGTGTCATAGAGTAGAGAAGACAGTCATCGAGTAGATTACCGTAATGTTGTAGAGGAGAATAGACTGTCGTTGAGTAGAGTAGAGTATCGTAGAGTAGAGGGTCGCAAAGAAGAGTGAAGTAGAGGAGAGTGTTGTAGAGTAGAGTGCCATACAGTATGGTAGAGTAGAGCGTCATAGAGTAGAGTAGTGTTGCCAGTGAGATTAAAGTTTCGTGAAGTGTCGTAGAGTAAAGTAGAGTGTCATTAAGTGTTGTCAAGTAAAGTAGACTGTCGCAGAGTATAGTAGAGTAGAGTACAGTGGAATAGAGTAGAGCAAAGTGTCATAGAGTTCAATATAGAGTAGATTAGAGTAGAAAAGACAGAGTGTCTTCGAGCGGAGTAGAGTGTCGTAAAGTGTCGTATAGTAAAGAAGACCAGATTGTTGTAGAGTAGAGTAGAGTACAGTAGAGTAGAGTGTCATAAAGTGTCGTAGAGTAAAGGAGAGTAGATTGTTGTAGAGTAGATTACAGTAGTGTTGTAGAGTAGAGTAGAGTGTCGTTGACTAGAGTAGAGTAGAGTAGAGGGTTGCAAAGTAGAGTGAAGTAAAGGAGAGTGTTGTTCAGTAGAGTATCATACAATATAGTAGAGTTGAGTGTCATAGAGGAGAGTAGAGTATTGCCAAGTAGATTAGAGTTTCGTTAAGTGTCGTAGAGTAAAGTAGACTGTCGTTGATTAGAGTAGAGTAGAGTAGAGTAGAGTGTCCTAAAGTGTTTTAGAGTAACGTGTCGTAGAGTAGTGTTGTGGAGTAGAGTGTCGTAGACTTGACGTAGAGTAGAGTAGAGAACAATAGTGTAGAGTGTCGTAGAGTATCTTATAGTAGAGTAAAGTGTCAGAGAGTAGAGTAAATTGTTGTGGAATGTCATAGAGTAGAGTAGGAAGTCGTAAAGTAGAGTGTCGTAAAGTGTCATAGAGTACGTAGAGTAGAGTAGAGTAGAGTGTCGTATGGTGGTGTAGAGTATAATAGAGTAGAGTGTCATAGAATAGAGCAGGGTTTTGTAGAGTTTTGTAAAGTGTTGTAGTGTATCGTAGAGTGTCATACAGTATAGAAGAATGTCAGAGTAGAGTGTCGTAGAGTGTCATACAGTAGAGTAGAGTGCGTAGGGTAGAGTGTCGTAGAGTAGAGTTTCGTAGAGTAGAGTTTCGTAGAGTAGAGTATAGTAGAGTAAAGTGTAGTGGTGATGCGCCTAAGCCTCCCAGCACAGGCCGACTTCCAAAGTGTCATAGAGTGTCGTCGAGTGTCGTAGAGTAGAGTAGAGTAGAGTGTCGTATAGTGGTGTAGAGTATAGTAGAGTAGAGTAGAGTGTCGTAAAATAGAGCAGAGTTTTGTAGAATTTTGTAGAGTTTTGTAGAGTTTTGTAGAGTGTCGTAGAGTACAAAAGAATCTTGTAGAGTAGAGAAAAGTAGAGTAGAGTGTTGTAGAGTGTCGTAGAGTGTCGTAGAGTGTCGTTAGAGTATCGTAGAGTGCCATAGAGTGTGTAGAGTAGAGTGTCGTAGAGTAGAGTAGAGTGTAGTGGTGATGCCTATGCCTAAACCTCCCAGCACAGACCGACCTCCAAAGCCGAGGATGCCGTATCGTGCCAGATTGAGACACCACACCGATCGAAGTGAAAATCGGTGGTTTGTCAAAGAAGAACTTCAGCAAACAGCTCCCCACGTGATTGCAGTATATGAGAGAGGACTTAAGGGAAAGATGCTTGCAGAATCGATGCAGATTAAAGGATTTCTAAGGGGACTATCGAAGTATCATGGAGTAGAGTGTCGTAGAGTAGAGTAAAGTAGAATAAAGCAGAGTAAAGTGGAGTATAGTAAAGTAGAGTAAAGTGTTGTAGACTAAAGTAGAGTACAGTAGAGAGTCATAGAGTGTCGTAGAGTGTCATTGAGTAGAGTAAAGTACAGTAGAGTATAGTGTCCTAGAGTAAACAATAGTGTACTAGAGTGTCGTGGAGTAGAGTAGAGTAGAGCAAAGTAGAGTGTGGTAGAGTAGAGTGTGGTAGAGTAGAGTGTGGTAGAGTAGAGTGTGGTAGAGTAGAGTGTGGTAGAGTAGAGTGTGGTAGAGTAGNAGAGTGTGGTAGAGTAGAGTGTGGTAGAGTAGAGTGTGGTAGAGTAGAGTGTGGTAGAGTAGAGTGTGGTAGAGTAGAGTGTGGTAGAGTAGAGTAGAGTGTAGTGTAGTAGAGTAGAGTAGAGTAGAGTGTAGTACAATAAAGTGTAGTACGGTAGAGTGTAGTAGAGTAGAGTGTACTACAGTAAAGTGTACTAGAGTAGAGTAATGTAGAGTAGAGTAATGTAGACCGGAGTAGAGTAGAGTAGAGTAGAATAGAGTAGTCTAGAGTAGAGTAGAGTAGAGAAGAGTAGAGTAAAGTAGAATAAAATAGAGAAGAATGTCGTAAAGTACAGTAGTGTAAGAGTGTTGTGGAGTAGAGTAGAGTGTCGTAGAGTAGAGTGTTGTAGAGTAGAGTAGAATGAAGTAGCGTGGAGAAGACAAGAGTAGAGTGTCATAGAGTAAAGACTCATAGCTTAGAGTAGAGTAGAGTACAATGTCATAAAGTGTCGTAGAGTAGAGCAAAGTAGAGTAGAGTACAATGTTATAAAGTGTCGAAGAGTAAAGCAAAGTAGAGTAGAGTGGAGTAGAGTAGAGTAGAGTAGAGTAGAGTAGAGTAGAGTAGAGTAGAGTAGAGTGTCGTAAATTGTCGTATAGTATAGTAAAGTAGATGTAAAGTAGAGTAGAGTAGAGTAGAGTAGAGTAGAGTAGAGTAGAGTCGGTAGATTGAAGTAGAGTGTCGTAGAGTGTCATAAAGTGTCATAGAATAGAGTATAATATAGTAGAAGAGTGTAGTATAGTAGAGAAGAGTAGAGTGTCGCAAAGTGTCGTAAAGTGTAGAGTGGAGTAGAGTGGAGTATAGTAGAGAAGAGTAGAGCGTAGTATAGTATAGTAGAATAGAGTAGAGTGTCATTGAGTAAAGTAAAGTGTCGTAGAGTAGAGTGTTTTAGAGTTGAGTAAAGTAAACTAGAGTGTCGTAGAGTAGAGTGTCGTAGAGTAGTGTCGTAGAGTAGCGTGGAGTGGAGTAGCGTAGAGTGGAGTATAGTAGAGTACAATAGAGAAGAGTGGAGTAGAGTACAACGGAGTCACTGTGGGGTAAAGAGGAGTAAAGTAGAGTGCAGTAGAGTAGAGTAGAGTTGAGTAGAGTAGAGTAGAGTAGAGTAGAGTAGAGAAGAGTAGAGTAGAGTAGAGTAGAGTAGAGTAGAGTAGAGTAGAGTAGAGTAGAGTAGAGTAGAGTAGAGTAGAGTAAAGTAGAGTAGAGTGTCGTAAAGTAGAGTATAGTAAAGTAGAGTGTCGTAAAGTAGAGTATAGTAGAGTAGATTGTCGTAGAGTAGAGTATAGTTGAGTAGAATAAAGAGGAGTAGAGTAGAGTGGAGTAGAGTAGAGTGGAGTAGAGTAGAGTGGAGTAGAGTGGAGTGAAGTATCGTAGAGTATGGTAGATTATCGTAGAGTAGAGTGTCATAGAGTAGAGTAAAGTAAGTTGTTGTAGAGTAGAGTACAATAGAGTAAAGTATAGTATAGTAAAGTAGAGTAAAGTAAAGTGTTGTAGAGTAGAGTAGAGTAGAGTAGAGAGTCATAGAGTGTTGTAGAGTAAAGTAGAGTGTCATTAAGTACAGTAAAGTACAATATCGTAGAATAGGGTAGTGTCCTATGGTACAATAAAGTATAGTTTAGTAGAGTAAAGTACACTGTCCTAGAGTGTCGTGGAGTATAATAGAGTGTCGTAAAGTGTCGTAGAGTGTCGTAGAGTGGAGTGGAATGAAGTGGAATGGAGTGGAGTGGAGTGGAGTGGAGTGGAGTGGAGTGGAGTGGAGTGGAGTCGAGTGGAGTCGAGTGGAGTCGAGTGGAGTCGAGTGGAGTAGAGCAGAGCTGAGCAAAGTAGAGTAGAGTAGAGTAGAGTAGAGTAGAGTAGAGTAGAGTAGAGTAGAGTAGAGTAGAGTAGAATGTTGTGGAGTCGAGTAGAGTGTCATGAAGTATCATAGAGTAGAGTGGAGTGGAGTGGAGTGGAGTGAAGTGGACTAAGTATCGTAGAGTAGAGTAGAGTAGAGTAGAGTAGAGTGGAGTGGAGTGGAGTGGAGTGGAGTGGAGTGGAGTGGAGTGGAGTAGAGTAGAGTAGAGTAGAGTGGAGTAGAGTGGAATAGAGTGGACTAGAGTGGAGTAGAGTAGAGTAGAGTAAAGAGTAGAGTGGAGTAGAGTGGAGTAGAGTGGAGTAGAGTGGGGTAGAGTGGAGTAGAGTGGAGTAGAGCAGAGCAGAGTAGAGTAGAGTAGAATGTTGTGGAGTCGAGTAGAGTGTCGTGAAGTATCGTAGAGTAGAGTTGTGGAGTCAAGTAGAGTATGGTGAAGTATCGTAGAGTAGAGTAGAGTAGAGTAGAGTAGAGTAGAATGTTGTGGAGCCGAGTAGAGTGTCGTGAAGTATCGTAGAGTAGAGTAGAGTAAAGTAGAATGTTATGGAGTCGAGTAGAGTGTCGTGAAGTATCGTAGAGTAGAGTAGAATGTTGTGGAGTCGAGTAGAGTGTCGTGAAGTATAGTAGAGTAGAATGTTG